AAGGTCCTTCTCTGAGTTCCTGGAAATCTGCTGCCAGTAGACAATACTTGGCTAATTGGGCATATAGTCGACCTAGTGTGTTTTATAATGGAGAAATGATACAAAAATGAGTTCAGGTTATACATGTTTATAGCATAGAGGGATTGTAATGAGTCATTACTATAGATTCTTACATGGTTATTAGAAAGCATCTTGAGGGAGCAGAGTAACTAAAATGGGACTTTAAGACCTTGCAGAATTAACAGAATACTTTTGTCAAGGAATGAGATAAAATTCCATTCATTCTGAGTGAAAAAAGACTTCATGAGAGGTTTTTTCCCAGAATTTCCATTTTTCTGTTGGGGAAAACTGAGTGAGGATGCCTTGGAAAGCAGTTTCTCTGATGCTTTCATTGCTTTTACACTTCTGCTTCCATCAAGTTATAGTCAGTGTATGGAAAACACCAGAATGCCCAACAACTGAAGACTGGAAAAATAAGTTGGCTGAGTATGCAGTAATGACAAAATTAAGTAATTATGTAAACAGAAGACTAATTGAAGAATTTAATGATAAATGGAAATTATATCCAGTATAATTGATAAGATGTAAAAGGAAGCTAGTTAAAATATTGTAGATGTTTTATACTTGATTTGCAGTGATTGGAAAATTTGTTGGTATAGAGAACTATAATCATTCTTTTTCCAAGTTTCAACAAGGCATTGATTGACAGAAGGATAGAAATTTTTGATTTCTTTGGAAATTTGCAGATTATGAATGCATAGGCTATACTTGTTTAAGATCCCTTTACAGTTTTATTTCATTTTTTTCTTACATTCTTCTTCTTCTTTCTGAACCTTATCTATTTTAAGAAAACAGTTTTTTAAAAATTGTATAAAGTTATAGTCAGGATGGCAGTAGAAAGTGATTCTTCCTTGAGGAAAGCTGAGAAGAAGGTGGAAATGCATCAATTGTGCATAATAGCTGTCCTCTATTTAGAAGATGCTACTCTTACTTCACAGTACTACATAATTAGAGCTTGTTGGTGGAAATTGGCAGGGCTTCCTACAAAATGATTTACAAAGGGTAGTATCCATTGGAGTGCAACCACTAATATAAATCACATTGCACTAGTATAACATAGTGTACCTTCAATTAGAAACTCAGGACTGAAGACACTACTGTTGATATTGCAGTAGAGGTAGTTTAAAATTAGCACAACATAATCTATATTAGCGGTTGCATCCTGTTGGTTAGTGCCCTAATTTTTCCAGGTATTTTGTTACCTAGGAGCCCAGAAGTAATTGTTGTTATGCTTTAACATGGAATAGAGCAGGCATGGCCAAACTGATTCTTGGGAGCCACATGCAGCTTTTTGAGTTTATTTTGTGGCTTATCACTTGCTGTGTGTGCCCGCAGCTTGCAGCTCACTACCACCCACAGTCTGTCACTCACTGTCCATTGTTACTGCCTGCGGGCACCCACTTGCAACTCTCAAACATCTGATATTTACTGTATGTAGTTCTTCAATTCAGTAAGTCTGGTCACCCCTGAAATACAGTTTCATAGTAGGTAGGTTCTAGTAAAAATTTAAAGGGTTTTTTTTTTCATTTTTAGTGAACATAAGCTGTAAATTCAACAACCCTGTGTTGCATTTTCTAAGTACCTAGTAGTCTGGTGTTCTCTAGCACCAGTATATCCTGCAAAAGTTTTCTGCTTCAGCTCTAGGCAGCATATCCAATGATCAGACATGGGGATTTGTAGTCCAAGGCTTCGGAAGGGCACCAGGTTGGGAAGACTAGTGTGTTCTGTGTTTCCCTGATAGTGTATAATCAGTTGTTGAATCTCCTGCTGTGTGCGTACCTAATTTCAGGTGTTGCACATTGCCAAGTTTCTGAGTGCACTTTTAGTTGTTTTGCCAGAGTAATGGCTCATGTAGCTGGGCCGTAATTCCACGTAAAATCAATGTGTCCAGATTTTTCATGACTTTTTTCCCACTTTCTAGCTCCTTGTGCTGTGATATTGATCCTTCTGTATTAAAGGAAGTAGTAAAATTAATAGCAGAACCTAGAATATTAATCTTGCCTGTAGACAAAAGTTCACATTCCATTGGGCCTGTAGGGACTTGGTAGTGGAAAATAATTGGTTCATTAACTCATTGTTGGTTCATTAACTCATGATTTGCTGCACTGTGGACCAATACCATTTTAAGCATGCAGCTTCCAATCAGCTCAGTTGAAGTTTGCTTTGTGATGTGTTTACCCAAACCTATGGTTAATCGCAGGTTAAACAACCCAAAATTAACCTAACTACGACTATTAAATTAATTGTGGATTATTTAATTTACAGTTAATTCATAGCCCCTGTTTTAAATATTGCAGATGAACCTCCAATCAGGCCATTTGAAAGTAGTTTATTAAAAGAAACAGCAATATGTATTGAGGCAAATTTTGGATTAATTAATCTACAGTTTGTTGTCATTATGTGCAATCTGGGTTGATGTGTTATATTGCTCTTTTAATACTGCCCACATATTTCTTTTAGCATAATTTCACAATGCATGTTGATATCTTTGGTGATAATCAAGGGATAAACCTATCTTATTCTCTTTTGGTATTCACTGTCAGAGATGAACGTATGCTTGGAGTAAACTGGTTAGGGATGCACTTGCTCTTGGCTAATCTGAGTTCTAATCCCCAGATGTGTCTCTGGTTGCACATCTCTGTGCCCAGATACCGCCTGCTCCATTTCCAAATCATATTTGCATTTTAAATTGGCACAGTCATGGGGCCTTTAAGCTAAGGATGGTCCTGAAAGAAGTGGGTGTGCCTCAGCACTTGATCATTCAGATGCATATCATAGACAAGAAGCTACTGTGAGGACAGAATACAGAGAAACAGAATGGTTTCCTATAGGCAAAGGGAGACAAGGGCTGTATTTTATCTCCCTATCTGTTCAACCTGAATGCCAGACATATCATAAGCTGAATTAGGATCAGAGAAAGTAGTGACTATTGGTGGAAGACACATCAATAATTTAAGATATGTAGATGATGCTATCTTATAGACAGAAAGCAATGACTTGACCACAACTCCCAGTGAAAGTGAAAGAACATGCAAAAGCAGGACTGCAGCTGAATATTAAGAAAATAAAAATCATGACTACAAAGGAATTATACATCTTTCAGATCAATGATGAAGAAATTGAAATTGTGAAAGTGTTTGTATATCTTGGCTTAGTTATCAATTCAGACAGAAACTGCAACCAAGAATTAGAGGCAGACTGAGGCTTTTTATTTATTTATTTATTTATTTATTTATTTATTAAAACATTTCTATGCCGCCCCTTGCCAAAGCCTCGGGGCGGCTCACAGCACAAAATAAAATACAATAAAATACAAAAATAAGACTTAGAAGAGTACTAATGAAGGAACTAAGAAAGATCTTCAAGTGTAAAGACATTTCACTGAAGACTAAAGCCAAGATCATCCACTCTGCTGTATTCCTGTTCACTAAGTATGGGTGAGAAAGCTAGACAGTGAAACATAGAAACAGAGTGATTCAGAAGGGGTCTCCCAGGCCATCTAGTCTGACCCTGGGCTCCAGCCGGCTCCGCTCATGACATGCCCACCATGTGCATGTCCAGCCTGTCTTTGAACACCCTCACTGATGGGGCCTCAACGACCTCCTGTGAAAGCCCATTCCACACGTTCAGGGTCCTAACTGCCAGGAAGTGCTTCCTGAAGAAAGGAAGGAAGCTGACAAGAAGAAAATGGATGATTATGAAACATGGCACTTTGCAAAAAAGCTGGACTAACAGAAAGCAAACAGGTGGGTCCTAGATCAAATCAAGCCAGAAGTTTCCCTAGAAGCAAAACATAATAAACCAAAACTGTCATAGCTCAGGCACATCATGAGAGGACAAGACTCACTGGAGAAATGATTATGCTAGAGAAGGTCAAGTGCTGAGCAGGGCTGTCAAGGACAGGATATTTTGGAGGGCATTCTTTCATAGGGCCGCCATAAGTCGGAGACTACTTGACAGCACATAACCGCTAAAGGGCCTTTGCTGTGGTGGGTTTATCAGTATGGGACTTACTCTGTTCAAGCAGTTATTCTTCTTAGTTTAAATGTTAAAAGAACTGATAAAGTTTTGTTCACATTATTTTAGACAACCAATTGTTGTTTCCCTTTTGTTTGTTTATAGTCCTTAAGCATTATGTGGTCTGTTTGTTACACATTTTGTTATGATGGTGATCACAAGCCTGAGCTAGTCTTTCCAATTTTGACTAAGTTGGAGGAAAATAAAAATGTTGAATGTAATTCTAAAGGAACTTCCAGGAAGTGTTTTTGTGTGTTTCTGCTTTTCAGGGCAATGAACAGGATCACAACCTAGTCTCATTTTTGACATCACATTTAAGTAAGGTTTTGGTTTAAGCTGAGGTTAATAGCTGCAGTCTTAACTACATTGCAGCAGAGATTCCAGAGTTTGGGAGGCTTTTTGGCAAGATGTGGCCTTTTTGCTATCATTTATTCATCTCATCCTCTGGACTCAGCTCCCATTACCTTCCAGAGAAAGAACAAGAGATATGGCAAAGCATGCAGAAGTTACTGCTCCTTCTCGCTTGCCATGTATTTACAGTAAATACACTATAGTATGTGTACTATGTGTAGTATGGCTTAGCTGCTCTTGTTCCATAAACTGGTAAATTTATGTACCTTCTTGCTCTTCCCACCTGTTGCTTGCTCAGAGAGGGCAGGTGAACAGACAGCAACAGAATGGAGGAAAAGAAAAGGTCAATAAAGCTCTAGGGCCTGGTAGTGAGCCATGGCTGGCCTTCTTGCATAATATGTCATTGTGTCACTGGATTAAATCCAACAACATGTAAACAGAATTGTACTAGCACAGTGGGATTTCCATTCTCTGTCTTCCTCATTGTAGCTATCTACACCATCCACAAATTATAAATAATTTTCAGTTGTACTTAGAGTGAAATGATGCTAATAATTTTTGCTTCTTTGCAGGTGGTATGGCCAAGAGAAAGATTATAATGTCCTAGTCATGGATCTTCTTGGACCCAGCCTTGAAGATCTCTTCAACTTCTGTTCTCGCAGGTTCACAATGAAAACAGTACTTATGTTAGCAGACCAGGTATGTAGCTGCAAATGTTGCACAAGGGGATATTACAGTGCCTTAAAGTGCTGTTTGCTTCTTTCTTCCAAGTAGGTCAAACTGTACAACTTGGTATTGCATGTACTCTAGTGAATATTTGACCCAGATAGAAACAAAAACGTACAGTGATAATGGCAGAGCATTTGGTATGTAGCACAAAACTAGTGTTGTTGTTGATAAGCCATACAATCAACTGTATTATGTTTTTTGCCTTATATTTACCTTATTTGCAGTGTTACTATTCAGTATTAACTGGGGAAGAAAATCACATGCATCTTTGACTAAGGGCAGTCGCAACAGTTCTGCAGTGTATATTTACCTTGCAGTCATATGTTCCAAATAATAGATAGTAAGCTAAAGCCATCTGAAATAAAGAATAATAAAGGCAAAACTGACACATTCCTTCACTAAGGTCACATTTTAGATTTATATTCCACTTTTTAAAAACAAATGCAAAGTGGCTTACAGCATTCTTCTGCTCTCAGTTTTAAACCCACAACAACAGCCCTGTGAGGTAGATTGGGCTGAAAGTCTCTGGCTAGGTCAAGGTTATCCACTTGGCTTCATGGCCAAGCAGGGGCTTAGAATGCAGGTTGCCAGTGCCACGCTTTTAACCACTACACCACACTGGCTCTCACATTTGAACAGATCTACAGTTTGGTAGACCAAACTGTAAACCAAATCTACAGTTTGGTAAAAGAGAGTTACAAAGGTATGAATTTCTGTATTTAGGCTAGCATATTGCAATTGGAGAATGATTCATTTCTAGAATAGCTTTCACTGTGTAATCTGTGTAATAAGTGGTGTGCCCATAATCACTGGATGCTTACTCTGAAAGCTACCACTGGAAACAGCTGTACCAAAGTTGGCATTTTAGCCATGAAATTTGCTCTTTAAGTAACTCTTTGGAAGATTAAGAATTTGAAGCAATTTGTGGGAAATTGATGGGACAATATTGATGGATTTAACTGCTTCTAGACAAACAATAGGTTCAAGTGCCTCGATTGTTAGCACAGTAATTAAGGATAATAGGCTAATTTCTTATTAAACAACAATATGAGCAGAAATGAAGAGAATGAAGTACTCTGAAGTTCAAGTCTGTCTAGGTATGAATTTCTAATATTGGAAAAGGTATCTCTGGATGTGCTGGTTTTAGTATAGAGGTGTTGTGTGGGGAATTCTAGTGTCGTGTGAATATCAAGTCCTTGATTATGACAAAATACATCTTTTTTATTAAATCAGTAATGAGTGTCATTCATAAATGATGAAGACTTAAGTATTTTCAGCCTTCTGTTTTACTTTGTCTTGCTTTGTTTTGGCTTTGATTATATGTAAACAAATAATTGGAGTAGTTGCTGGTAACATTTCTGTTGCATTGTAGGGTTATGTTAATACATGTTGCCAAAACATATACCTAAAATATTGTCTGTTTAATTGCTTTGAAGGCATGATTATTTTTCTTCTGTTTACAGATGATCAGTAGAATTGAATATGTGCATACAAAGAATTTTATACACAGAGACATTAAACCAGATAACTTCCTAATGGGTATCGGGCGTCACTGTAATAAGGTTAGTCTAATACATTTTTGCATGAAAGAACAAACAGTAATGCCTTTGAAAATAGCAGTTCATGGAAATGCTGTGCAGTTTGACTTAATTGCTTGTCATTGCTAAACACGTCAATTATTTGGCAAGAGTTGGGAATTGCAGTCTTACTGCTATATGCAGGAATCAGCTGTGGCCCCAACCTTTGGCTTGATTTTAATTAAAAAAATCAATATGTTGTATAACTGACTTTTAATTGAGTGCCCAAGTTCAATGTGTTCAATGATAATCGTTGACTATTGCGAATCAATTGCAGTAGCATCACTTACCATAAACTGCGATTTCCAGTTATCCACTGAATTTATGCCAGCATGGTAGAGCCTCAGCTACCAGATATCTAGGTCATTAAAGTGGCTGTAACCAATCTGTATAGAACCATTGGCTTCTAATAACCTAAGCCTGTTGATTTAACTTCTTACTGTGCTTTCACAGCCTGTGGAAGCTCAGAGTGCAGTTAATGGTAGATGTAGATTAACAGTGTGGGGAGAAGGGGCTGATGCATTAATTTAGCTGGAGATGCATGTTTCATCTTGAAACTTCTTTCTTGAAAAATATTTCTCTTCACTGGCTTGTGGGAGTCAAATTTACTTTATCCTACAGTGAGCTCGGGCAGACAGGCAGCATTGGCAATGCATTAAGCATGCTGTTAAATAGAAATTCTTAAGTGTAGGACAAATGTATGTGATTGATTTTTCTTATTGGGAGCAAGATTCCCACTTGGCTTCTTTGTAGGCCACCAATGTTTTATTCTACAGATAAAACTAACTATAAAATGTTACTTTTGTTTGCCTGTATGAATGCCAACTTGGGGCCATTACTTAGATCAAACACAAACCAACCAAGAACCAACTGTTGAATTTTGTGTTAAAGGAGTTCAGTTTAAAAAACAAGTTGGGGGAGGTGGAGTGAGAAGAAAGTGCAACTATTCAATTTAATAGGCAAAATACCTTTCTGTAATACTATTTCTATTATACTTTATCTTTAAATTTCATATTCTAGCATTCTGTTTCCTTAATACAGTCCAATTCTTTAACTTTCTGGCAAGAACTTGAACTAAAAAAAACAATTTTATTTTCAATTTTCTTCTCTTGGGGCCCTTTCTCCACTGTTTTCACAGTCATAGTGGGCTGGCATTGCAGCACATTGTTTTTCTTTGAAGTAGAAATGTGGCCTGGAAATGCTGTTGTGCTTTATTAGGTGACCTTGTTAGGATCACATTGGAAGATGTAAATTGTGGACCCCATTTAGAATTCCCAGAGAACCATTTAGGTTCAGTGCCAAATACTTGAATAGTGGGCATTCGTTTTCCATTTAACATTTGAAATAATACCTAACATAGGAGTGTAAATTCCTTGGTTTAATTTAAGCAGAATTTAAATCAAATTTTGCTTTAGCCCTGTTTATATAGTAGTTTCGTTTAAAGAAAATTTGTTTTTGTTTTTTTTTTTAATATATAGAACAATTTTCTTCCAGTAGCAAAAATGTAGGTAAATTTTGTATTGTCTATGTATTATTCCAAGGCATAAGCAGTAACTCTAGGTTAGGCTGTTAATGGTAATCTTGTTCCAGAAACCATTTCATTATAAGCTAACTTAAAATATAGTAATTCAAATTGGAATGCTGAATTTTGCAAATTTGTTCTTAATTTCATGTTCAGGAGTGATTTCACTCCTAGCATAAGATCTTCTTTCAGCTCTGCTAGAATAAGCCCTGCATGCTTATGAAAGTGAACTTAAGGTGACTAAATGCCTTCTACCTCTTCCTTACTGAAGATTTGCTTTCTACATGTCATTTGGGGGAAGGGCAGTTTGTGGAGCCAAAGGATACTTTATACATAAAATCCAAATTTCATTTTTATTAAACCCAAATGTTGTCATTGCTATCCCTGTTCAAGGCAGTGTCATTTTGAAGTGGCTCATGCTCAAAATTTATATTGCTACATTTTCTAAAAAAATTTCCTTATAATGTTACCTCCTGGGAAACTGTAGTGCTTGGTGGAAGAAGGATGGCATTTGGCTACCCTATTCTTTCTCTAACGCCTCGGTGTTGCCTGTCTGCGCCAGCCATTGTTGCAATGTAAGCAATACTGTTTGATGCACTGCCACCCTCTATTGTTTGTTCAGTGTTTAGAATCTCCAGTGGGGAAGAGGAAAAGAAGCATGACTGTTAGTACTTCTCAGGACCCATCTTTCTCAGGATTAAACCAGGTCTGAAACTGTCTCCTATTCCAACCTCAATCCCAAACTCATATGCTTTTTTGTTTTGTTTCGGAGAACATGTAGACTTGCAAAAAGCACCTTATGTTGGCATTATTCAGACATACCTGGCAAACATGTAACATTAATAAGATATAACGTGGCACTTGTTTAAATTATAAGTTTCTTTTTCTGTCAGTTTAAATGTGAACAATGTTTTGTGTTTGCAATTGAGGAATACCCCTATGTTCTAAAACACAGTAACAAAGAAGATGCAGGGTGTGTTGTGCCTAAGTGTGCATGGTCTGTATCTGGATGTAGGACATCTTGGTGAAATTTAGCATCCTGCTCATTGACAGAATTATGTTTGTTTGGAAATCCATTTCAGGTGGGGACAGTTGAGTCCTCTTCTTTGTGTATTAGTAACTTGGATGCTTTAGCAAAATGTATAATAACAGTCAAGGATTGTCCTTTGTTTCCAGTGGTGTATTTAAAAAGAAAGTATTGAGTACAGATTAAGAAACTAAGCTATTCAGAGTAGCTTGTATTCTTGAAGTTCTACTGTATCCCATTAACAGACCCAAGATGTCTTAGCTTTTTCATTTGTTTATTAAGGTGAATTTTATTTTGCTTTGCTAGAGATACCTTTCTTTAGAAATGCAGTAAGCAAAATGGATGATATTTCATTATACTAAAGCCTTTTTATTAGCATCTAGTTCAGTTGTTGCTGTGTATACAGTTTGTGAGCCTATTGTAAGTTGTTTTGCACGTAATGTTGATCCATGGTTTAGCATGCTATAAGCACAAGTAGTAATGAACCCAAGTTCAGCCTTGGGCTTCTATGACCCTCCTCCCCACACACACCCCTTTTCTTCATGGATTCTTCAGCTGGTATGTTTAACCAACCAGAATTGGTTTCAATAATCTGGTTTGTATGAATAACAAGCTAGCCCTCTGTGAAAAGTGAAACTAAATTTCTGGCTGTGTGGCGGGTGAAGGGAGTGTTCAAGCCCAGTAGTTTGCTCAGGCTTTTTCACATTTGTGCTCACAATACCAAATCATGATTTAAGTTAAGTTTGAATTGATTGATTGTGAAGACAGGGTACTTTGCCATTTAAAAGGAAGCTATAACTTCTTACCTTGTTCAAAAATTAAATCAGCTGTTCAAAATGGAGGAGTTGGACCTCAAAAATGTATTGCTCCTCATGATTGTGCTTATGCTACCACAGTTTGTGGTGTTGGAGAGATGAATGTGTAGTACTAATGACAGCTTTTCTTTCACTGCAAATAGCAGGTGTGTAGGGGGCTGAACTGGATGTGGGCTTCAGCAAGGAGGAAAGAGTTAATTACCCTTTATACATCCTGCAGTTTCCAAATTCTGAAAGAAGCCCCTACATCTGCTATTTAACATAAATCACTTGTTTGTGTTTACAAGACTGAACATGCCACCCTGCAAATAAGCTGCATCAGAAGTGATGATCATGGAACAGCCCACAGTGTGCCCAGCAAACAGTTAGGCTGAAACTGGGGTGTCACGATCCCCAGTCTTCCCATGGGTATCTCTTGGCATTGTGTGACAGGACCTATCTTGTCTTTACTCCCCTCTGGAATGGCAACTGGGACTCCTTTTGTAGTCATTGCAGTTCTCCTCTTTTTTGGAAATTATGTTTTTTGATCTCTGGAGTGACAGCCCCTTCAAAATGCCCAAGTGGAACATTGGAGTGGTTGTAACTGGTTCACCTCCCAATGTATGTATTTTGCATCCAAGACTTGTGCATTTTTTGCTATTGTCAGTGGTCCAGAAAGGGCATCTTGGTAAAGTCCCTCTTGCATTTAGCTTCCATTGGGTGATGCAATTTCGCAGATGTTTGGGAGTGGATATTTTTATCTCCAGATTTTGGCACCAAACACAGCTCCCATTGCCATTTTATGTTGCTTTAAAATATCCCATTAGTGAAAATTATCTTAGGTGACAACATTTTTTATATATTGCAGTTGATCCTTTGGTCACAGAGTCATGTCCGACTCTTTGCGACCCCATGGATAACGTTCCTCCAGGCTCTTCTGTCCTGCACAATCCCACAGAGTCCACCCAGCCCCAGTAACCCCCACCTCAACCTCTGCCATCCCCTTTTCAAAAGCACTTAAATGCAGTAGGAAATACTAGTAATACAGTATGCTTATAGAAGTTATGATAATAGACTTAACCATATTAATTATAGAAGCATCTCTGAGAAGTTATTTTACTACCCTGACAGTGCAATATTTGACCAAGTTTTACTGAGATGGTGTAAATTGGTGTCCTGCACCAGGAGGGGGTTGAACCCAATGGTCTTTTTGCCCCCTTCCAGCTCTAGTATTTTATGATTCTGTGAATCCATTATAGAGAAGGAACATTCAGGGCATTTTTTCCAGATCTGTTGATATTATAGTTTAAACTTTCCTTGAGTTGGTTCAGGTGTTCATTATTTTGTAGCTACTTTGAATTTGCAGTAGATTGTAAAGCTACTTCCACCTGTCTATACCTTTAACATAAAACAGATTTGTTTTAGTTATCTTTAAATGCTACCCTTCTTATGCTTGTTCCTGTTCTCCTCACCTTTATTTTGATAACTGTAGGAGCCCAGCAAACTTAAAAGATTTTATCCTATGTTACTATGTTTTATTTAGAGTAGACCCATTGAAATTAGTCTAACTTCTAACACTGGATTCAGCCTAAAGAGCAAGTTGAAATTATCAGTAGTCTGCAAATGGCAACTAATTTGAATCTGTAAATAAATAAAATTGTGTGTTAGTTTGGTTACATGCTTAGTGTTTCTGAGATTCTAGGGGATACATGTTGCCTTTGATCTATAACATATTTACTGCTATTTAGTTTACAAGTCTGTCATAAGAATATATATTTAAGGTTTTGAGTCACTTCCTAAATTAGGCATTGCTACACCTTAAATTTAAAGCTGATCTAACTGTTGTAACTTGTTTACTGCATAACAGAACTTTCCTAGTTATTAGATGTCTGACTGATCAGTTGAACTGAATGTAAAAAAAATGTGGTGCTGTAGTACTTCATGAACATAGGAAAGGGGATTAGAGGCTTATGCTGTGATGGTTGAATTGTGAATTCTACTGTCTGGATGCCCTTCAATAACAATGAAGCACTAATACAGCATATTGAAAAGGATGAAAAGATAGAATTGCTGCTAACTAATAAGTAAATGAAAGAAAAGCAGAAATGCTTTGAATTGCTAAAGCCAAAGCACATTCACATAAAATTTGCTTTCTCTTAGTACATTGTATAATAAAAAAAAGCTTTTAAATTTTACCTTTGTGTAATACCTAGGTTTTAGATTAAATCTCACAGTTAATAGAATTATCTAAGCTTCTCCTTATTCAAATAGGAAAGGTTTAGCAGCATTTGAGCATTCACTGTTGGAACTGGTTAATAAGAATAAGTGCTTCCTTTGGATTTACATAATAATGGTCAGATTTGATTTGCTTTAATCAGAATACTCTAAAGAATGTGTACATCAATGTCACAGATGTAGTTTTCAAACTGCCTGGAAACATTAATTTATTTCATTTTTTTAAAGTTATTCCTTATTGACTTTGGGTTGGCCAAAAAGTACCGGGACAACAGGACAAGGCAGCACATACCATATAGAGAAGACAAAAATCTCACTGGTACAGCCAGATACGCCAGCATCAATGCACATCTTGGCATTGAACAGAGGTAAGTGTCAAAGCAATTTCTTGATTTAGATTAGTTGTGGTAAAATTTTGGGATTGTTCTTTAATGAACATAACTATAGAAATTAACTTTATTAGGGTTATGAAAATAGTTAAAAACTTCCCACAAGGGTTACCATCTGATGGAAACCATTTCTCTGTAATAATTTCAGTGAATTTGGTGGTTGCCACAGCATATCTCAAAAATAAAATAATGCATTTCCTTTCATACTGTAAAATTCTCCAAACCCGGCTTCTGTTCACCCATTATGCTGCAATATTAAGCTGGTGGTATTTCGGGTTCAGATGTGTGTCGTCTTTAAACTTGCTCTAAAGATGCAGTGAAGGAAGCTTGCCCTTACATTGTGTTAAGATACTTCAGTTCTTTAATGGTACAGTCCAGTGTCCCGAACCTTAGATTATATATGTAAAATATTTATATGCCACCTATCTCACCACTGGCATCTCTAGGCAGCTCACAACATTAAATTTATCATTATGTTACATTATAAATACATTAATAGATGTGTATAAACTGTTGCCACTACTGTACCCCACATTATGCATTTTTGGCTGTCTAGATTAAGTACCATGGAAAGGAGAAGGGTAAAGCAGTAATACGTGTCAGCATATGCTGTCAGTCCCAGTCTCCACCTCATCCCACTTCCCAGCACAACCCTTTTTATTCTCTCAGAGGTCTAGTTGCAAGTCTGGGAAGGTAGCCAGCATGGCTCTCTCTGTGCATGCTATGAGGAAAGCAGGGTGAAGGCTCAGCTCTCACAAAGTTAGTTTTAGCTTTTTTTCCCCCCTTTTAGAATGTCATCTAAGGCTAAAAAGATAAATAGTAAAAAGATGTTAAAACCTGCTTATAGGACAATTTTTCCATGTGTTTCCATGCTGTTGATAAAGAAGTTGCTTGTTGCTGGACCAAACTGTAAAGCATCAAAAGAGTCTAAACAACTAAATGTGAATCCCAGACCCTTTCATAACTCTGAGTTCTAAAATTCTTCATGGTCTCTGTGCATCGCACAAATTTTATTCTTGCTGCACTGATATGTTGGAGAATTTCCTGAAAGTGTCTGAGTTCAAACCTTGCTGAGTCCTCATACTGTAAAAACTGTTATGTACTATAATTATAAACTCGCAAACTTGACTCTCTTCCCTGCAGTCGTCGTGATGATATGGAATCACTAGGATATGTATTGATGTACTTTAACAGAACCAGTCTTCCATGGCAAGGATTAAAGGTATGCCATAAATCCTTATTGGAAATTCCTTATCAAGAGTTGTAGAGACCTTGACATAAAAAGTAGACCAAGCACAATATTGTACACTTGCAATATTAATTTTGTTAATCAGTCTCAAAAGCTGCATGGTGTGAAAAGCTCTGGGAAAAATTATAATCTGTTGGTATTTTAGAACAAAATCACAAGTGGAAAAAAATGATTTATTTACAAAATAAATTGAATGTTTATCTAAATCCAGTTTTAAGTGTTTGTTCAAGCTATTTATAAAACTCTACATTTCTGCTTCATTTAAAAATATACAGTATGATTGCAGTTAAATATAATCACAAACATGTTAAACCTACATTTACCATCTCAAAATGAATCAGTGGCTAAAATATCAATGATTCATACACAGTCAGCTTTTAGTCAAACATGGACATAGCTAACAGGCTTTCTTTTCTTTTCCAGCCTATCTACCACCTCTTGCTTTTTGAAAGTTCTTGGCTTAGCCATAAGCTCAGTGATATAAAGAACATACATTGCATGCCAAAGGTCCTTAATTTAATCCACAGCAACTCCAGATAGGGCTAGAAAAGAACCTTGCGTTTAAAGATGAAGCAAACAGCTCTCTATTTTCATTTTTACTCTAGAGTAGCAGCAGGAGGTCTAATCTGGATCATGACTGTAGTGTGTAGGTTCATACTTTTCTCCCTCTATGTGCCCTTTCTGGATTGCTGTTCCTGAACCTGCAATTTCTATTGCAAAATAACAATCCATAAAGCAAATGGAATTGTATAATTCAGATGATACTGCTACAGTTACCTGAGCTGCTTCAAATGGTAGTTTCTATTGCAAATACTAGTATATCAAATACAGTCTAGTACAATAATCTCTGGGAGTGGGGTCTATTGATTATTAATCTTAATGGGCAAAAGTAACAAATTGAGTTACCTAAGATGTGATGAAGCTCTTAAGCTGTGGTAAAATGCATTCAGCTGCATTCTTATCTTAATACCACATTGACCTTCATTCCTTAGAAATAGATTGTGGAATTTGGGGATTTTATAAAAAGCCCTTTGTCTTCAGTGTTTGTCCAGATGGTCTTTGTTACTTACATTGATCAACATTCCACAGGCTGCAACAAAGAAGCAGAAGTATGAAAAGATTAGTGAAAAGAAGATGTCTACTCCTGTTGAAATTTTGTGTAAGGTAAGCTTGTAAAAAACATAAGCTGTTATGGCAACAACAAACTTTTCTATAGCAAAGTAGCTGATATTTCCTAGATACTATGGAAATTCATTAATAATTGTTTATCCAACTCCAGGTGTTAGATTCCTTGTATGAATAGAATTGCTAGTGTTGGTGTTTAGGCTCATAGAGTTAATTTTCTTTGGGTTGTCTTATTTTTTGCGGGGTAGAGGGGACAGTACTATAATACTGACTTTCTGAATTTAAAACTTACAAGGGACCCTGCCTGTAGGTTATAGTCTGATTATTTCTGTTTACAGGGATTTCCTGCGGAATTTGCAATGTATCTGAACTACTGCCGTGGCCTGCGCTTTGAAGAGGCTCCAGATTACATGTATCTGAGACAGTTATTCCGCATCCTTTTCAGGTCAGTCTTTAGGGGAATATTTGCAAAAATAAATAAATAAAACAGCTTTTAATAACCAATAAATGTTTCAAACTGAAAGGAACAACTGGGAAAGATTTTTTTTCAAGTAGAATCCTGCCTATCATGAAAATGGGTCTTGTGAGTCCCATCAGTAACCTTAACAAGGACTTAATCTTTTGAACTGGCTGCGGGTTACATTCACAATTACCTTCAGTAATGCTGAAACAAATAATTGAGAAATCATGATTGCCCAACAGAAGCTTGGTTAATTTTTTAAAAGGAAATACTTTTGAAGCAGCAAGGGCAGAAAAGAAACAATATCTGGCTTCTTCTATCCAGTCTATCCCTTGTTGCTAATCAAAGCTTTTCAAGGTTGTCCTGGGCTTATTACATTCTGGCCCCAGGGACACCTTGGAACTATCTCAAGCCCAGTGTAACTTGCTTACTGGGCAATTCCAGGACAAAATCTCTTGCATCTGCCATAACTTGGACTCCAAAGACTGTGGAGATACCCAGAGCACAGCCTGGTCCAGTTCTTTTTGGATAAGTTTCAGTTGGTACAGCTCAAGAATGTGGGCAAAGTGCTTGGACAGGTTCATGCAGTCACCTTACTCTCTACTGGATCATTGTCCCTCCTGGCTTATAAAAGCCCACACGAAAGGAATAATGAGCTGGGCCAGGGAGGTCATGAATGCCTTTTTGTGAGGGAGTGGTCCCCCTGCTGCCTTAAAGAGACCACTCCTGAAGAAGCCTTCCCTTCAACCAGAAGATCTGAAAAAATCAGGCCAGTAGTAGGATATTCCTTTCCTGGGCAAGGTTTTAGGGTAGTTGCCAATCAGCTCCAGGCACTCTTAAATGAAACTGATTATTTGGATCCTTTTCAGTTGGGGTTCAGACCTAGTTTTGGTGCAGAGACAGCCTTGGTCACCCTGTATGGTGAGCTATGCCAGGAGTGTAACAGGAAGTGTGACCCTGTTGATACTGTTGGACCTCTCAGTAGCATCAACATGGTATCCTTCTGGGCCAAGTTGGTAGTGGGGTTCACTGCATTGCAGTGGTTCCATTCCTACTTGGAAAATTAGAACAATTGGGAAATATTGTTCAACCCTGTGGATTGTTCAGCATGGAGTTCCTCAGGGGTCTGTTCTGTCCCCCATTCTATTTAACATCTACATGAAACTACTGAGTGACCTCATCTGGAGTTTTGGAGTGCATTGCCATCGGCTCTATTTCTCCCTTTCATCATCCGCAGATGAGGATGTAGATGTGCTAAACTGATGCCTGACTGCAGCAATGGACTGGATGAGGGCTAACAAACTGAAACTCAATCCAGACAAGACTGAGATACTGTTGGTGGGAGGTTCCTCTGACCAAATGGGGGATATTCAACTTGTTCTAGGTGGGGTTGCACTCCCCCTGAAGGAGCAGGTTGGTAGCTTGGGGGTGCTCTTTGATCCATCTTTGTCACTTGAGGCTCAGGTGGCACTGGTGGCTCACAGTGCCTTCTACCAGCTTTGACTGGTGGCCCAGTTGTGTCCATACCTGGGCAGGGTTAACCTGGTTTCAGTAATCTACACTCTGATAATCTCATATTACTGCAACACACTCTATGTGAGGCTGCCCTTGAAGACAGTTCAGAAGCTGCAGCTTGTGCAGAATGTGGCAACCAGCTTAATAAACAGGACGCATGGGTACAAACATATAAGACTTCTTCTGGCTCACCTGCATGGGCTGCCTGTGTGCTTCCAGATTCAATTCCAAGTGCTGGTTTAAACCTATAAATCTCTATACCATTTAGGACCATACTATCTGTTGGAGTACCTCTCCCAGCCCCAGTCTACACTACACTCAACCTCTGGAGAGGCTCAGAGAGTGGCAACTAGGGGAAAGGTCTTTTCTGAGCTGGTTCCCCTATCTTTGGAACAGCCTCTCTCTTGCAGCCCACCTGGTACCAATTTTGCCATCTTTTCAGTGCCATGTCAAGATAGCTCTCTATGTGGAGACCTTCAGAGATCTCCTTGGTTATCCAGGGGCCTGAGATGGATTATCCTGGTGCTTCTCTTCTTGCCACTGCCCTTTTCTAGTGTTTTAATGTATTTTAAACTATTTTAAATTAACTCTAAATTCTTTTAACATTGTTCTGTGTTATTTGTTTTTATTATGTTGATTTGTTTTATTTTATACACTGTTGTAAACCAGCCAGAGAACTTTGGCTGCAAGGTGGTATAGAAGTGAAATTACAAACAACAAGAAGACATGATTCCTTTAAGAACAAATCTAATCTTTGAACAAATAGGAAAGCACTTTTATCTTGGGGGCCTCTTCTTTAGCTCGATTTCCAGGAGAAAGGAGCCAATAAATAATAACAATAACTACAATAAATTACCATCTGTCACGCCACATTTTTCATTCATTTTGGGTGCATAAACATTTGCCCCAAAGGGAAGACTGGATAAAGTAGACAGGTTACAAACATAAAGGTAGTAAACCTTTAAGGAAAAAGGCTTGCTGGAGTAACACACTAAAATGATTTTCATTCCAAAACCTTTTGTAATTAAATAAGGTTCAGCCTAGATTGTGCTGGTAAATTGTGCGTTAAATTTACTATATGTACAAATAACTCTTGGTCATCCTTAGTTATCACAGCATCAGTGTAAACTATTGTAAAATGGTCAGGATTTTAAGGCTGTACATAGTTGGCACACTCACAAGAGCCGTTCCAACATCCCCCAAAGCTGCCCCTGATTGCTGTGGTGAATAGAGAAGCAGCCCCCTGGAGAAGGAGGAATAGCATGTGAAAGAAAGGGTTATTTCTTCCTCAGCATCCCCAAAGCAAGTAGACATTTTTTATACTTCATGTATGGAGTGCTCTGGATTTTCGCCAGCATTTCTACAACTGTAAATAACTGCCAAGTGATTTTCAGGCTTGCTCCAGGCAGATTTAATTTACTAAGATGCAACCTCGCTCAGTCTTCAAGGTGTTTTAGAAAACATGCTTAATTTTTAGTTTCACTAACACTTGCTTTGCATACAGCAGTGGTGCAGATATTATGTTTCAGTGATTATTGTGCTTTTTCCTTCCACCTCCCCAGGACTCTGAATCACCAATATGACTACACATTTGACTGGACAATGTTAAAGCAGAAAGCAGCACAGCAGGCAGCCTCTTCCAGTGGGCAGGGGCAGCAAGCCCAAACCCCCACAGGCAAGCAAACTGACAAATCCAAGAATAACATGAAAGGTTAGTAGCCAAGAACCAAGTGACGTTACAGTCCAAAAATAATAAACTCTAATTTGGATAATGTCAGTGAAGTTAAGTGTTAGATCAAGGAGGTCATTTAAAAAAATACATTTGGCTATTTAGTATTAAAAAAAACGGACGTCCTTGGAAAATTTGACTACTAACTTTAAACCAAGTGTCCTTGTTTTTCATATCATTTCTTTGGGGATGTTGGGTCATTTTAACCACTGCATCTTTTGCTCCCGCATTAACCTCTCTTCAAACCAAAATGGCTTGGTGTTGGGAACTTGATAAATAGTATCCAAAATCCTAGACCTAACACTTTAAGGGGAAGTCTGCTGTTGACTTTATATCGGGCCAGTCTGTTGATGCTTTGGGTATCTTTGCTCCTACTATCCAAAATGAAGATGGAAAGATAGGCATGACTTTGTTTGAAGTTCTGCTAAAGCACTTATGTGATGGATTTTTATTCCTTGGCATAGATAGTGTCAATTTTCCATCTTCAATTACAAATCCAGAGATGAATTCTCCTACAGGGTGAATAAATAATGGGATTTTAAAATGTAAAATGATATATTAATCTTGGTTATAGTAAGCACTCTTTTTGGAAATGTGGTTTTGAATGAAATCTGGGTTTAATCAACTTGTTAAAACACATGAACTTCCAAATCCCTGAATGAATGGTTAAGTTAAGGGATTTTTTGGTGTGTGAAGAATAAACCATGGATTTTTTTATTTTATTTTTTCCCCTTTTGACCTAAGCTTTATAAGGCATTGCCCTGTATTATATTTTATGGGCTTTGTGACTAGAGATGGACTTTCTTCCATCTGCTTGGTTCTCTGCTTGTTCCCTAGAATGGTGCTCCCAAGATTAGAGGCTTTAAGGGAGACACACAGGCTGAGGAAGAGCTGGAGTAGGCATCAGGCAGTACAAATGGTATCTAAAAAAGTTATGAGGCAACAATTGGGGTTTCAGTGGAGCCTCTTCTACAGCAAAGTGCAGAGAGAAGCAAAATGGCACATGCTGAGAAGGCTGCTAATCTAGGCTGCAGTGGGATGGAGAGTGACTTTCCTAAAAAGCTTGCAGAGAAGACAAGGAATGTAACTCTGCAAGGCAGGCTATAAGTAAAAAGGAAATTATTTTGAAGTAAATATTTTTCCCCTTGTCATGAGAGACAGGAATAACAGGCAGAACAATGGACTGCATCTTTTCCAAGCCAAAAGAAAAGAAATGAGCGTTGTCAGATGCTGAAGGGAATAGTATAAAAGCTCTTCAATTTCTAATGTGCCCGATGTATTTCAAGTGTAACAACTTTGTCAGAGGCTCTGCTTGTCCCTACTTTTTTCTTGAATAAGCTGGGAGAGGAATTGTCCATGATGAAGGCACCATGGAGGACAGAAGCACAATTAGGGTTTTAGATGGGAGGTAGTCTAGATGTCCGTCTTTTCCCAAGAAGTAGCTTCTTGAAGCATAAAACTGAGGTGTGTTTGTGAAAAGAACAGCTGCTCTGAAGATGAGGGACAAAGTCCCTATGCTTCTGTCTACTTATACTTAACATGGTGGAATAAAAGTAAACTTGCTAAAGTTGTGTTGTATCCTGATGTCCAGAAAGGATGAGATGATTTAATGAGAATAAGTGGGACAAACTGTTCTTACTGAAATGATAAGCTTATACTAGTGACAAAGGTATGGCAAGTTGTCATGAGATTTCAGCCTTCAGTTATTGGGTACAGGAGGCAATACCACTTGTTCTTTCCAGGTTCACCCACTTAATTCACTTGAGTTGTCCAGCATTCCTATTTTATGCTCTCCAGCTCACAGGGCATTAAAAATTGTCGCATTTTTGTATTATAAGTATCACTGTTGCCAGCTGAACAACATAATTGATTGTGTTCTTGGTGAAATGGAAAAGTAATCTTAGCCTTTACATCTGAAAATCTTAAAACCCTTCTTGGTCAGTGTCCTGGAATGATTTCAGAGGGAGGATAAAATGTCTAATATTCCAGTTCCATGAACATGTCCACAAAGAATGCTGCAATGCCAGGGGAATACAGGCTAGAGCAGAACTTTAGCCTGTTGACTATTTTGTTCTTTGAGATAAAGCAGAGGAGCTAATTGAGAATGCAACTCAAGGGAGGAACTGAATGTAGATATTCACTGTCCATCATCCAAGGTTGGATACAGTTGGGTGTGGCAAAGAAGACCTTTTGCAAGTACTAGAAGTATGTAGAAGACTATTTTGAAAAGGAATTTGAGGTAAAACAGAAGAAGGAAAATTGTTAAATGGAAATAATGCAACAAAGATGCAAGACTTGGTTGTGAGAGCACTGTGAAAGATGTTGCTTAAAAGGAAAGAACTAAAAATGATGTGATCGTTTCTGGACAGTCTGAATTTAACTGGTTGGCAAAGTTTGCAATATTCTTTTGGTGGTATCCAAATATAAATGATGGTTATAACAATTGGGATTGGGCTATTTTAGAGTTAGAAAATACTGAATTTATGGGAATATATTAATTACATTTCTATAGCATATGTTAATCAGTATAATTGAGCAACCTAGTAAATAATCGCTGTTTAAAATCTCAATTTTTATTGATCATTGTGATTTTAAGTTAATGCAATTTGGATTCTTATCAGGGTAGTTGCTGAAAATCAGTTTATAGTTAACTACAAAATTCGAACTGGCAGCTTTGCTCATGAAAGCTACCTCTGCCCAATTTGAGCAGTCTCTTCCCATCCACTCACAAAGTCTACAGCATGAGTCCTCAAACTAAGCGCCCACTGCTGGCACCTGTCAACTGGCCCCCTGTTGAAAAAGTTTGAGGACCCCTGGTCTACAGAGTCCCCTTTGCCTCTCTGTAGCATTTCAAGGAACTATAGAGATTACTGCATGGAGGAAAGGGGGCAAGTCTGCTTTTGTCAGCTCCATTACATAAGGCTGAGGATCCAATTGAGTCCATTTACAGCAGACAGAGCCACTGAATAAGAAGTTAGAAATGCTGAGTATTCTTACTGTAAGGGAGAATCTCAACCTTTTTTGAACATCTCTTGTTCAGGAACACAGCAACTCCATAGACTATAGTAGCTATCCTGTATTTTTAGTTTTATCCTAGTTTAACTCATTCCATATATCTTGAAACGGTCATCATTGTTGTATTTTCAAATAGATATGGCAACATGTGCAGTTTAAGCAAATGCACTGGATGAGATGACTTGACTTTTAACTGTTCTTGTTTTAGGGTCCAGTTGAAGCATATGTAACTGTAATAATCTATTTGCAACATTTACAGCTTCATAATCCTCTGTTGGCACCACCATAACCAGCTGTGTTAGAATTTAAGCATGCATCACATGGGATCAAATGAGAAATCGTCATCTAGTGAATAATAAGATGTTCTCAAAATTGTAACTGAGGAAAGACATGCTCTATCTGTGCAACTAGCCCTTTCATCAGGTCCTTTTTTTTGTCCAAAATACAGCCTTTATTGGCACAGTTCAGTCGGTATCACAAGACTGCTCCATCAGAAAGGGCAGGTGTCGATGAAAACATACTGCATACAGTGTTTATGAAAGAGTGGGAGTAGCTCATAGAATACCCAGTGGTGAACTTGGTTAGTTTGTCTGAGTAGAGCAACATCTGCAGTGATATTAAAATATGCACATCATCTCAAAGCAAAATATGAAGTTAGTTTCCAAATATCTAATAACAGTAGAAATGAGAGTAAAAACTATGGGGTCTATAACATTATGGCATGCAATATTTCCAGTTTAGAAAAACTAAGAAATCTGCATGATGATGGAAACATAAATGGTTGCAGGTTGCATCTATTACCTGTTATGTTGCCCTCTTATTTGGGAACAGTGGGATTTCTGAGTAAATATGCATAAGATCAGGCTTTTAACCTAAGAGATATATTCTTTGGAATGTAAAAGAAAATGTTGAAATAGCAGAATATTTCCACAACTATTTTTTTCCGATTTATATCCTGCCTTTTTCCTACAAAGGGCTCAGGACAGCTTACATCATTCTCCTCCTCCATCTTATCCCCACAACAACAACCCTGTGAGGTAGGTTGGGCTGAGAGTCTGTGACTGGCCCAAAGTCACCCAGTTGGCTCCATGGCCAAGCTGGGACTAGAACCCAGATCGCCTGAGTCCCAGTCCCATGCTCTTAACTGCTCCGCCACACTGGCTCTCTATTTCTGCTTCATCTGTTGTTTCAGTTACAGTGGTTTTACTTAACCGTGGTTGATCATGGTCCAGAAACAAGATCTGATGCACTGGAGTGTAGCCCAGTCTGGGAAAGCTTGTCCTGCGTCATGCCATGAGCCTCACATGTGGCCACACACCCTGTCCCAAGTCTGGTACCCACCCCATCCATTCCAGAGGGTGGCACACCATTCTGGGCCAGCTGTAACAGCAGATGGAAAGGGAAGCATTCCCTCTGCGGTTGTCTGTGGAGAGACCTAGTGCTGCCTATGCAGGTCTCCTCCCACTCACCTGGTCCCCCTTGTGTCCATCTGTGATGCAGTAGGCTCCAAAACAAAAAAACCCATTTAATTATTGATGGCAAGCTTGCAAATAATCAAATCCGCAAAAATGAAACCTGCAAAAGTCGAGTTTCAACTCTTTATTGTGTTCACTACTATCCACAGTTTCAGGCATCTGCTGGGGGACTTGGAACCTATCCCCTTGTGGATACAGGAGCCCTACTTTATATTTTCAATTGTCCAAGAAGATATTGTTATGTACAAGCCTCTTAACAATAGAGCTACTGAAGAAAACATTTTTGATGTTATAAATATACATAAATATACATCATGCCCTCCCACAAAAATGGTGGCTATCTCTAACCTCTCCCCCCCCCCAAATTGTGAGAAACATGAGATACACTCACCATGAGGACAAAATATATGAGGCTTGCTACCATCAAGATAAAGAGCAGCATTCCAAACAGTGCAAGGTCTGCACTTTTTTAATACATTGAATTTTTTTTCC